TGTGGGTCCCTTCTCTCCCTACACGTCCTGACTCGTGTTCGTTCGGCCCAGTCAGTTTTTTTTTTTTTTTTTTTTTTTTTTTTTGTTTGTTTGTTTGTTTGTTTTGTTTTCCCCCCTCCTTTTCCTTTGCCCCTGCCGCCCTGGGGCTCGCTGCAATTGTGTGTGGGCCCGTACTAAACATGCATGCACTTCCGACATACACTCAGATTTTCGGACCAGCGAAGACTCCCGTCATGTTTGCAACTCATCTTGGTAGTTGCGGATCATAGGCGTGCGCATTTTTTATTATTATTATTTTTTTAGTACGTGCAGTTTAGGGAGAGTGTTGGACGGACTCACTGCACAACCCCAGTGTGCATGGTTTAAATTTGAATCTGAGGTGTTTTTTCTTTTCTTTCTTTTAAATGCACCCTCGACAGCAACCAGAGGGCTTGTTGTTGAGTTGAACTCTTTGCGTCCCAGCACCACACAACTGGGTATGACTGGACTCAGAATCACAGGGACCAGGATAATGGGACCTGGGACCAATTGAGCTAGGGCCCAGGATAATGGAACCTGGAACCAATTGAGCTAGGGCTCAGGATAATGGAACCTGGGAGCAATTGAGCTAGGGCCCAGGATAATGGAACCTGGGACCGATTGAGCTAGGGACCAGGATTATGGAACCTGGGACCAATTGAGCTAGGGCCCAGGATAATGTGGAACCTGGGACCAATTGAGCTAGGGCCCAGGATAATGTGGAACCTGGGACCAATTGAGCTAGGGCCCAGGATAATGTGGAACCTGGGACCGCTGCGCCATGGCCGTAGCTCACTTGGTCCGACCTTAAGCTGTTGAAGTCCAGACCTGATTTCAAACTCAACTGGAAGCAGATGGCGTGAAATACTACGACTGGTGGGGGATAGGAACACTGGCTGGGTCTTGAACCGCTGGGGGCGACAATAACCAGCGTGTGCATGCTATTGGAGGGTACTTACTACCTACCTTCGCCGGTCTGAAATGAAACCTGGGTTTAAACTCTTTTAGCTCTCCGGTTGGCTGCAGAGTGTGCATGCTATTGGAGCTAATAGCAGTGGTATATTAGCAGTGTGTGTGTGGATGCTATTGGAGCTAATAGCAGTGGTACAGTGTGTGCATGCTATTGGAGATAATATTATAGCAGTGTGTGCTCACAAACACTGCTGGGCAGTGACGCTACCTGGGTTTGAAATTTAAAGGTTAAAGTTTAAACTCTTTTAGCTCTCGGTTGGCAGCAGTGTTTGTGAGGTAATTAGCAGTCTGTACATTCTACTGAATGGGTATATAAATTATAATGTGTTTGCATTTGTGTTTGTGTCTGTGCAGATTGTAGAGAACTGCGAGGAAAAGCTGACAGAAGATATGGTCGAGAAGCTCATAAATACAATTGACGAGACACTCCCGCCGCCACCCATGAAGGAGGGTGCTGAAGATGATGAGGAGGAGGAGGACGGGGGGGGAGAGGAAGCCGAGGGTGCAGGCAAAACCTAAAGGGAATATAAGAAGCACGGTGAGGATAAGGCCGACCTACTGAGGAGGGACGGGCTTTGTTCGCCATTGGCATCCATAGGTAGATAGACATAGATAGTCAGTCACACAATACACACCATCAGATGGCTGCAACTACTTTCTTGGCCACGAAACCATTTACAGGGAGGATAGCCAGGAGCAATGTTTTGGCGTCCATGCCACAGCCAGATAGGCCATCATCTCCTGTGAGTTTGAGCCCTAATGGACACAGAACCGGGACCTTTTAAAATAGTTGAGAACATTTTTGCACACACACACACACACCGACACGCACACACCGACACACACACACACACACACACACACACACACACACACACACACACACACACAGAGAGAGAGAGAGAGAGAGAGAGAGAGAGAGAGAGAGAGAGAGAGAGAGAGAGAGAGGTTGCACATAAAAGTTTTGCAGAGAGAGAGAGAGAGAGAGAGAGGTTGCAGATAAAAGTTTTGCAACGTTTGCCTTTATGATGGCTCATGATAAATAGGTAATAAGTATAGTAATTTGTCGACAATTTACTACGGGAGGCATGACAGTCCCACTACCTTTATTTTCCCCAAAAGCATTTGGTGTTCTGGTGTCACTCCTATGCGGGCGGGCGAAGAATTTTCCAATTAGAGTTTTTGATCAGGAATACACAAGGATTTGAGTTTTGACTGGGAATCCACAAGGATCGGATATGAAAAGCATCAGGTGTCGGCGAGGAGCGGGGGATGCCAGACCCATCTTTCACACTCTTTATATACAGGCATTCCTGTATCTTTAAGTCCGCGGGCAAAATGTGGTGAAGTGTTGTGCCTGAAGTGATCACACAAATCTTAACTGAAGCCAATGAAAAGTAAAGGAAGTTCTCGGAGACGTGGGCCGAGCTCCGAATCGGATTGAAGAAGTGTGATCTGCAGAGGGATAGGCGTTTCAGCGGGTGGGTCAAATTGCCGTACATCCTGAGGCCGAAGCTGGAAGTGGGCATGCTGAGAGATGCCCAGCGCGTGGACGAAGCCGAGAGGATTGGCATATCATTGGACACAACGAACGTTGAAGTGTCGAAGAAATTGAACAAGAACAAGAAGCTCGTGAAAAGGGGTCGAAGAAATATGACGCGTTCCTTGCCTCCGAAGCCGTCATCGCACAGATTATCTCTGTTGTTGGGAGTCTTGGGACCCAATGTGAACAAGGCGGGCACGTTTCCCTCTCCGGTTACCCATTATGGACTCCTTGAGAACAGGGTGAATGAAGTGACGGCATCTGCGAAATTCGAGCTGAAAGGGGTGCTGTGTATGGGAGTAGCCGCAGGGAATCTTGCCGTGGACGAGAAAGAGATCTTCCAGAATGGACAGCTAGACGTCAACGTCCTTGTCTCGCTGTTGAAGAAGAATTAGCAGAACGTCAGGACTCTTTTATGTGAAGTCACCAGCATGAGTTGTCATGCAGGGCCAGTCCGCATCTTCTAATTCTTCTGAGAAGCAGGTGGTTTTGTTGTGCAAGGGTAGGCCTCATCTACTAACGCTTCTGAGGAGGAGGTGGTTTTGATCGCACAGGCGAAAACCTGTTCCGATTGGCCTGGCCTGCCTTGGCGGACCTTTGCTGTTTCTTCGCTCTTTTGAAGTTTGGCTGTTGACGGTGTTAGGCTAGCAAGATTTAAAGTGTGCGGCACGTAAGGGGAGTAATGGGGGATGAGACATAATGAACAGGGATGGCGATGGCTGAGGGCAGAGTAGGTGTGACGGTCTGTGAGGTTGATGGGCGTATAGCTGTCTCTATATTTGCTCTGCACGGGATAGTGACGGTCAGGGGTGACGTCAGTGTCGCCGCTGGGTGCTTGCCTCTATGTGCTGGACTTAATTTACGCATCTGTAAAGGATATATATATTGATTAGAGGCTCGGCACGATGAGAGATTGTACGTGGAAAAAAAAAGGAAAGGAAAAGAAAAGAGGGGCACCAGATTGCAGAGAGGTGTGTGCTCTCTATTTGGAACAAGCAGCAGTTCAGTACAATGCGTGATTTCCTGAAAAATGTGATGTATATTTCTTCTGTGACTGAGCAGCAGGGGAACACAGTGCTACAATCGCTGCGTTTGCAAGAACAGGGGAAGAGTCATGGAGAGAGGAGCAGTTGGTAGAGAGTGGGAGGACTGGAAAATAGAAGGGCACCTGGTGGGGTCAGGAAGAGAGACGGGACGCTTGGTTGGGTTGTATTACGACATGCAACCATGAAACAACAACGACGACGTCACACATCAATAATACAC